TGTGTGTGTGTGTGTGTGTGTGTGTGTGTGTGCCCAGATATCGCTGGGCAGAACCATATTCTGAATCATTTCTAACCAGATAATTTTGGGAGCTGGGTAGTTTTGGTTCTTATATATAAACCAACAATCTACTAAATAATTATAACTGAAGAGGTAATATGGTATTATTTTATTCTCATGAAGGCCATAATTTACTTGACAAATATGCTTCACCTCCAGTTTGGGCAAAGCCTATATCAATGACTACATCCCTGAATCACTGAAAAGTATCTCAGAAAAGTTTCTAAGGAAGAACATAGAGTAGACAACTATTGGCATGATGGATGGATTTGTCATAAATGAATGACTGAAGTTGGCTGAAGTTCTCAATGAAGCTGCAAAACACCTAGTCAGGTTATAGCTGGATAAACACATAATTACAGGAGGGGAATGGTTGTCTAGAGATAATATTGAAATAGTTCTGGGACACAATTCTTAAGAACATATGAACTAATATCTAATTAATGCTGATAGGGAATAGGTCTCAGATAAAAGTACAATACTGCTGATTTCCAACTTGGCAAAACTACAGAATTACTAAGTTACAGACAGGATTATGGGTAAGTGGTTACTTACAAGAGCAAGATTGACTCAAATAGAGATGCATCATGAAAAACCCATATCAGCAGTGGTGACCACTCATAAAATCTGGAATCCTCAAACTTTTGCATACTTGCAGGGAGTTCCACAGTTCAGAGTTTCTTTTAGGTAACTGGAATGATCTCGGCATCTCCTAGGCAGTATGAATTGTCTGAATCTCTTCTACAAAGTTAGTCTTTGCTGAGTATCCTCAAGAGCCTTTACTTGGAAAAGAAGGGGTTTGTACATCTGATCAGTTGTGAGGATCCTGAACACTTCCATGTTGGTTGCTTTCTGAATATTAAAGAAGTTTCCTTTAGAATTTCTTGATCTCTGAATGATGGAATTTTCCACTTCTCTTTGGAACACCCAATGTCATAATGAATGTCCCTCCAAGATGGAATGTTTTAACCCTGAGAAAGCTGATACACAGCAGAGATTCCTACCGAAAAAAAAATGGCACAAATAGGAATGGGATGAGACTGTAGCTATAGCACAATAAGACATGCCTCAAGATGCATTTATCAGTCAGTTAAAAACATGTCAATATGACTTCAGAGTAGAGTTTAGTCACACTACCAACTGTACTAATCTTTGAATAGTAGCATTTTAAGTGTACTAAACTGTTAGATTGATGCCAATAAGTACATTCTGAAAAGTTTTATTTGAAGAAAGCTGCATTGCCATTTTTTGACCCTTAAATGATTTAAAATGGTTTTACAATGGGAGGATGTAGCAAGAGGTACCATCCAAATATCGCTTAGAGAAGTATTCTTAAGAAACAATTTATAGTTATTAACATCAAGCAATTTTTAAAAAGTTTATTTAAAGTTTTTTAATTTTATTTTTCCATTCAATTATTTACACTTCCTTCCCTCCTTCCAATCCCCTCCCACTCACCCATACCCCCTCCTCCCTCTCCCACCCTTCTTGAGAGAGTGCAGGGAACCCTACTCTGTGAGAAGTCCAAGGCCCTCCCCCCTACATCCAGGTCTAGGGAGCTGTCCATCCATATAGACTAGGGTCCCAAAAAGCCAGAACATGCCATAAAAATAAGTCCCAGTGCTGTTATCAATGGCTTCTCAGTCAGCCCCCATTGTCAGCCACAATCAGAGAGTCCAGTTTGATCACATGCTCATTCAGACCCTGTCCAGCTGGATTTGATGAGCTCCCATTAGAACAGGCACAGTGCCTCAGTTGGTGGGCCAACCCCTCTTTTAGTTGCTATTACATTATTTTGAGAACATAAAAAGATAAATTAAAAGAGCAAAGGTTTAAGGCAAATCCAAGAAAGAAACGACCAATTCATACTATCTCTTGATGAGAACTGAGAAACATGCTACATTCCATGTTTCTAGTGTCCAGGTTATGTACATGTATTAGTAGGATCACAAGAAAGATCCCATAAAATAAATTGAGGTAAAGTATTTCTGCACATTTTATAAATTTCATAAATATTAGTAAATGTAAATATCTTAGAAAAATTGCAATTGCTAAGTGAAAAATTCTTTTTTATTTTTTTTATTTGTTTGTTTATAAAAATTTCCACTTCCTCCCCTCCTCCCCCTACCTTCCCATTCCCCCCACTCCCTCTCCTCCTCCACCACTCCCTCTCCTCCTCCCTCTCCAGTACAAAGAGCAGTCAGGGTTTCCTGCCCTGTGGGAAGTTCAAGTTCCTCCCCTCTCCCTCCAGGCCTAGGAAGGTGAGCATCCAAACAGACTAGGATCACAAACAGCCGGTACATGCAGGCGAAACAAGACCCAGTGCCATTGTCAATGGCTTCTCAGTCAGCCCCCATGTCAGCCACATTCAGAGAATTCATTTTGATCACATGCTCGTTCAGTCCCAGTCCAGCTGGCCTTGGTGAGCTCTCATTCGATCAGTCCCCTTGTATCAGTTGGTGAACACACCCCTCGCGGTCCTGATTTCCTTTTTCATGTTCTCCCTCCTTCTGCTCCTCATTTGGACCTTGGGGGGCTCAGTCCGGTGCTCCAATGTGGGTCTCCGTTTGTATCGCCATCCATCCTCGGATGAAGGTTCCCTCTGGTCCTGCCTATCTTGCTCACGTTTTCCCTCCTTCTGCTTCTCATTTGGATCTAGGGAGTTAAGTCCAGAGTTCCAATATGTGTCTCTGTCTCTATCTCCATTCATCAACCAGATGAAGGTTCTATGGTGATATGCAAAATATTCATCAGTATGGTTATGGGCCAAGGCCAGTTCAGGTACCCTCTCCACTGCTGCCCAGGGAAGAATCTGGGGACCTCTCCTTGGGCCTGAGAACCCCTCCAGAAACAAGTCTCTTGCCAACCCTAATATGGCTCCCTTAGTTGAGATATATACTTGCCTGCTCCCATATCCATCCTTCCTCCCCCCATCTCATTCCCCCCCACGCCATCCCCAATCCTCCCCCTCTCCCTTCTCTCTAACCATCTCCCCTTACTTCCACCCCCCCCCCCGTGCACCCATGTTTGCATTGCAATCTTGACTACTTTCTATATCCAGGAGGATAACTATATGATTTTCTTCAGGTTCACCTTATTTAGCATCTCTAGGATCACGAATTATAGGCTCAAAGACCTTTAATTATGGCTAGAATACACTTATGAGTGAATGCATACCATTTTTTTTTTTTTTTTTCTGGGTTACCTCACTCAGTAAAGCGTTTTCTATTTCCATCCATTTGCATGCAAAATTCAAGATGTCATTGTTTTTTACCGCTGAGTAAAACTCTAATTTGTATATGTTCCACACCTTCTTTAACCATTCTTCTATTGAGGGGCACCTATGTTGTTTCCATGTTCTGGCTATTACAAATAGCGCAGCTCTGAACATAGTTGAACAAAAGCTTTTGTAGTATGATAGGGCATATCTTGGGTATATTCCCAAGAGTGGAATTGCTGGGTCTTGAGGGAGGTTGACTCACAGTTTCCTGAGAAACCGCCACACTGATTTCCACAGTGGCTGTACAAGTTTGCCTTCCCACCAACAATGGATGAGAGTTCCCCTCACTCCACATCCTCTCCAGCACAGGCTATCATTGGTGTTTTTGATTTTAGCTATTCTGACAAGTGTAAGATGGTATCTCAAAGTTGTTTTGCTTTGCATTTCCCTGATCGCTAAGGAGGTTGAGCATGACCTTAAGTATCTTTTGGCCATTCGAAGTTCATCTGTTGTGAATTCTCTGTTCAGTTCAGTACTCCATTTTTTAATTGGGTTAATTAGAATTTTAGTATCTAGTTTCTTGAGTTTGTTGTATATTTTGGAGATCAGACCTTTGTCTGTTGAGGGGTTGGTGATCTTCTCCCAGTCAGAAGGTAGTCTTTTTGTCTTACTGACAGTGTTCTTTGCTTTATAGAAGCTTCTCAATTTCAGGAGGTCCCATTTATTCATTGAATCTCTTATTGTCTGTGCTACTGGGGTTCTACTTAGGAAGTGGTCTCCTGCACCTATATCTTGTAGACTATTTCCCACTTTCTCTTCTATCAGGTTCAAAGTGGTCAGAAAAATGATGATGTTTTTAATCCATTTGGACTTGAGTTTTGTGCATGGTGATGGATCTGGATCTACTTTCATTCTTCTACAGGTTGACATCCAGTTATGCCAGCACCATTTGTTAAAGATACTTTCCTTCTTCCATTGTATACCTTTAGTTCCCTTGTCAAAAACTAGGTGTTCATAGGTTTGTGGGTTAATATCCAGGTCTTCTATTCGATTCCGTAGGTCGACTTCTCTGTTCTTATTCCAATACCAAGCTGTTTTCAATACTGTAGCTCTGTAATAGAGTTTGAAGTCAGGGATGGTAATGCCCCCAGAAGTTCTTTTATTGTATAAGATTGTTTTGGCTCTCCTGGGTTTTTTGTTTTGCCATATAAACTTGATTACTGTTCTCTCAAGGTCTGTGAAGAAGTTTGATGGGATTTTGATGGGGATTGCATTGAATCTATAGATTGCTTTTGGTAGAATTGCCATTTTTACTCTGTTGATTCCCCCAATCCAAGAACAGGGGAGGTCTTTCCATTTTCTGGTGTCCCCCTCAATTTCTTTCTTCAAAGACTTAAAGTTCTTGTCAAATAGGTCCTTCACTTCCTTGGTTAAAGTTACCCCAAGATATTTTATGCTCTTTGTGGCTATTGTGAAAGGTGATGTTTCTCTGATTTCCCTCTCTGCTTCTTTATCCTTTGTGTATAGGAGGGCAACCGAATTTTTGGAGTTGATCCTATATCCTGCCACATTACTAAAGGTGTTTATCAGCTGTAGGAGTTCTTTGGTAGAGTTTTTGGGGTCGCTTATGTATACTATCATATCGTCTGCTAATAACGAGAGTTTTAACTTCATTCTTTCCAATTTGAATCCCCTTGGTCCCCTTATGTTGTCTTATTGCTATTGCTAGAACTTCAAGCATTATATTGAAGAGTTATGGTGAGAGTGGACAGCCTTGTCGTGTTCCTGATTTTAGTGGAATGGCTTTGAGTTTCTCTCCATTCAGTTTGATGTTAGCTGTCAGCTTGCTGTATATTGCTTTTATTATATTTAGGTATGTTCCTTGTATCCCCAGTCTCTCCAACACCTTTATCACAAAGGGGTGTTGAATTTTGTCAAATGCTTTTTCACCATCCAATGAAATGATCATATGGTTTTTTCTTTCAGTTTATTTATATGATGGATTACATTGATAGATTTGCGTATGTTGAACCCGCCCTGCATCTCTGGAATGAAGCCCACCTGATCATAATGGATGATTTTTCTAATGTGTTCTTGGGTTCGGTTTGCCAGGATTTTATTGAGAATTTTTGTATCGATGTTCATGAGTGAGATTGGCCTGAAATTCTCTTTCTTGGTTGTGTCTTTGTGTGGTTTTGGTATTAGGGTAACTGTAGCTTCATAGAAAGAGTTTTGCAATGACTCTTCTGTTTCTATATTGTGGAATACATTAAGGATTGTAGGTATTGACTCTTCCTGGATGTTCTGGTAGAATTCTGCATTGAAACCATCTGGTCCTGGACTTTTTTTGGGAGGGAGATTTTTGATAATAGCTTCTAATTCTTCACGACTGACTGGTCTATTTAGATTGTTCACCTGGTCTTGGTTCAACTTTGGTATATGGTACTTATCTAAAAAATGTCCATTTCTTTTACATTTTCCAACTTTGTGGCATATAAATTTTCGTAGTAAGATGTAATGATTCTCTGAATTTCCTCTGTGTCTGTTGTTATGTCCCCCTTTTCATTTCTGATCTTATCAATTTGCATGTTCTCTCTCTGCCGTTTGATTAGTTTGGATAGGGGTTTGT